TACTTCGTTTCGAATCTAAAGGATTAGATCGTATAGTTTAATAGAACTTAGTCATAGACATATGTGAATATCATGTTGAAATGGTTCAACATAGGAAATTCCATACATGAAAATATTATAGCAAGAGACTGAACATATGTCAGATAAAATGAATCGAGTCCCTATGCTTCGGATATCATATCGATTACATATGCTATAATATTCATTATTATTGCGGTTTTTCCAAAAGCCTTAAGCATTGAGAGGAAAAGGATTAGAATTTTTTGTGTGACTAGAGTTTTTAAACAACTTTCAAGAACATTCTAAAGTTTATTGAAGATTGGTTGCTTGTGCACAGTTGGAAGTACGGTATTAATTTGGATGGACCATAGTGACATGATTCTGGATTAAGATGATTCTTAATCAGAATCGACAGTCATATGGAAATATGGAAATGTTTCCATAATGGGAGATACTTGAAAGTATACATGTGAGTTGGAAACTTTAATGCAAGAGAAGTGTTCAAGGAGTGTACCTTGAATTTGAACCTTCATTATCATGGAATTGTTTCTAGTAACAAAGTTCCAATGAAACATTATGTAATATTGTTGGCTCAATTTTTTTGACTTTGAAGCCTCGACATCATAGAAGGTCAACGCATGTAAGGATGGAATTCCAATACATTTTAGACAGTGACAAGAATTTAGAATTATGAAATGAGCATCATTGGAATAGTGTCTAGTTGATCTATTCACAGAAGGAATGACCATAGAGAGACATAGTATGCATGTTCATAACATGGCATGACTGGTGTTATTTAATTCAAGTGGTTTGTTGATTACATGAAACATTAAACAACGAGTAAAGTCGTAATTATTATGGTGATTAAATGATAGAGATTTATTTATTTTCAATTGGTTTGAGACCATAGTTAATTAGTTTATTATTGTCTTTCTCTTTTCATGTTTTACTTCCTGAATAATTTGTTTATTCGAGTTCTACAGTCGCTCATACTTTTGGAAGTAAGTAGTGAATTAAGATTGTCATGAATTGGATCTAAGGGAGTTAGGCATATCAATATAATTGCTACAATATTCATGAGTACTTAGAAATGGAGATTTATGTATTGGATAAACCCACGCTCAGAGAATTACTTCATGGAGTTTATCACGAGTAATTCTAAGACGATAATATTTTATGATCTTGAAACAGAGATATATGAGTTGTAATTTACAAGTCAGTTGTACATTGGTAATACGTAAATGCATCAGTAACTTGATGCTATAAAACGTATTGTCATGCATGATTTGAGGAGTAAAAGATGCAAGCATATGAGTCAAAGTTTATCCGTTCGTTTTGCCCTAACGGAAAAAGCGATATCTTTGGGCCCCTCGGTGATTTGGTGTTGACTTATAGTGTTGGGCCCAGCTAGAAATAAATTGATGTGTTCAATTAGAAGTTCTATGTCATTAAAAATAAAAAACCGGGAAACAAATTCTTGGACAATGAGATTGATTTTATTCCATGTCTAGTGTTCGAATGATATCTTGTAGAACGGAGGATTATATGATCCCTTATCTTAGGACACGTATTGGGTCAGAGTTCGACAACGGCTTTTGGAAGCTACAATTTGTTGATCGATTTAGAAGTTATACTGACAATTATAGTTATAGACTTATCCAAGTGAGAGACTGTTGGATTAGGTGTCTAAGCCTATAACTAAAATCAGTATATACTTGAATTGATAGTAGCACAATCCTTTTGGGTTGCCCTCAAACCTAGCAATTGGGCAAGATGATTTTTAGAGAAAGAGAGAAATTAATTTATTATGAGAATAATAAGTTAAATAAATGGTTTATTAATGTGTTACGAAAACAATATATTAATTAGAAATCATATTATTTGATTAATAACTGATCAAAAATTAATTGGAATTAATTTTAGGATTAACTGGATTAATTAAAAGTACAAGGACTGTTTGGTTATCTATTGATAGTTGAGAAATGAATGCTCTAGAACCTCATGGAATGAGGTGGATGAAAATCTCTAGGGCAAGCCTAACATATTTCATCCAAGGCCCCTTCGATAAGGGGATTGGGCTGCTTGGTCACCAAGAAAAGGAATCTAGGGCTTATCCTTTAAACCCTAGCTTTGGCACCAAGTTTCCTCAACTATATAAGGAACCTCCTGGCCATTGTTTGCATCCATTCCTTCCCTCCATAAGCCTTGGACAAAAAATTGCCGCTCCCCTCTCCTCTCTCTCTCTCTCTCTCTCTCTCTTAAGTCATCTTCTTGCTAGCTTTGGTGTGATTCCATTAGAGGCACGACACTTATGGTGCTTGCTTCCAAGGGATCTACAAAGAGGAATTCTAGTTGTTTGCTATAACAACTAAAATGTATGCAATCCTAAAACCCTCTCCTTTATTTTTTGATAATATCCTAGGGTTTCTAGGGTTCTTTTTGATGTTCTTAGTTATAGGTTCAATAGAGAAAACATAGATCCTATTTAGGTTGCATGCAAACTTAAGGGTTTTATTTTTGTTTGTTTACCTAAATCCTATGAGACATAAGCATGAACAGCCCCAAACACCTCATCAATGATTTCCTACGTAAGATGTCGTGATAAACACCTAAAGAAACTATTCATAAGTACTGAATGTGTACAAAAACAAAAATGACTTATTTTGAAACAAAAAAATATTAAGGACTAAATGTGTACAACAATATAAGGACTAAATGTGTACAAAATGAGAAGTGTAGCTAACCTGGGGTAACCGGTCATAAGGGCTGTGTATAGTTTAACAAGTTGAAGAGGTAAATGTGAACGGAAAAAAAAACTCAATGACAAATGTGTACAAATTAAAAAATCTATTACCTTTTTAAGTCATTATCCCTTTATAATTTTATATTTACTTTAGCACCATATAAACTTTAAAAACAAATAAACATTTTTCTTGCAGATTGCAAATGGTTGTTTTATCTATTCTTTTACATATTTGATCTGCTACCTACATTTTACCTCTTAAAAACAAACATCACTAGCTATGTTTTTTAATCAATTTTTTTAAATCAACCGAAATTAGACACTCAGACATAAATGCCATATTCTGTTGGTCATATGTTCAATTAAATGTCTCAATCAATATATTATTGGCTAAATCTTGAATAAGCTCCAAGTCATCTTGTTCTTCATTTCACCATATCAAATTCTTCTATGATTTTCTATATCTAGGGTTTATTATTTGAATTTTAATCCAAAATGTGTGAGTTATTTGTTAATTCCTTCAATTTTGAAGTCTACTTTATGTTACATTGTTCTACTTTTTATCATCTAGGAAAGTTTGTGGTATAGAGTGCAATATCTATGTTGTGATGATCCATAGTCTTTCTATTAGATGTTTGATGGAATACAAGGACTTTCAATTCAACGTTTCTTTTATGCTATTAGTTTCTCCATCTAATGAAGTATTGTAAAGGTCTTTATGGTGTCGTAGAGAGGTGGGTAAGAACCTTAAAGTTGAGAGAGAGAATATATTTTTCTATTTTTTTAAAAAATTTAAATAAGTATTAAAAATAACAAAGCTAAATGAAAAGATATAATAGTCTTTCAAATGTGGCAATAACCAAACCTTTGATTTTGAGCCGTTCAAGTCTAAACTTTTTAGACCAAAACCACAAAAATAGATGATAAACATATGAATCATTCTTGTCATTTTTGCAATTTTGTCTTAAATTAAAGAAAACAAAACAAAAATAAAAATAAAACTATGAATTATGAATTATGATAAAAAAAAGACAAAATTTCACAAATGGTCTCTAATAGGTTTCGAGAAGTGACACTTTCAGGATATCATTCTAAGGTGTTATATCGGTAGTCCTTCTGGTTTGAAAACCTAGCACACTTAGTCATTTTGGCTAACTCCGTTAAAAATAGGGGTTGAATATATTTGAAATTACCTATTTACCCCTCTTTTACTATTTACACTTACCAAAAAACCCTACCCATTTATTCAATTTCATTACTCTCCTCAATCTTAAAACCCAATGTCTCTTGTCTCTATAACATCATCGACATTGTCTCTATAACATCATCGACATGGGCGGAACACGAGCAATATAAATAGGGGGGCCAAAACATAGACATATCCGTATTTTTTTCTAGATGAAGGCATACTCTAATCAATATAATTTCTTATATAATTAATTGTTCACTATAAAAAAAAATAGTTGCTCTCATGAATGATATCTAAATGGCAAACTGATACATTTCTAGTTTATATAACTTCATATTATAATAAAAGTATTAATATAAATATAAAAACAAGCATTAAGTTACAATTAAATAAAATATTACATATGTGGTAGAGGTTTATATTGAAAAACTAATTAAAATAAACATAAAAGACTATGCTAATCAACACTGAGGATTGACAACATTTAAAAGAAAACAGAAATAATACATTAGGAGACTAGGAGAAAGAATTAAAAATTAGTTCAAGTATTATTGTGATGCTAGGAAGTTTTCCAGAGGCTATCCTCAAATACAATTAAATAATAAATTAAAAGTAATACTAGGGGACAAAACCAAAAAGAAGAAAAGTGAACAAAAGTAGAACTCAAAAGTCAAAAAGCATTACCTTCATTACAGTCATCCCCATGGTTGCAAAATAGAACTAGACGGAGATGGCGATTGTGGAGGCTGTAAGTGCGTGAGCGGTAAGCAAGATCCATGAAGACGAACGACAGAGTGAGAGCAAAGAGTGGAGGATATGCGATCGACCAGATCCCATTTGAAGCAACGATTATACGGAATAGCGAGTTACCCGGTTATTAGATGCATTATCTCTTTTTCTCCTGTTTGATTTCTTTATGTTTATATTCTTATAATCATGGAATCGATTCGTAAATCTTAAATTGGTATCTGTTTCGAATATCCAGGGATGCCAATACAGTAATTATCTTTAAGTAACAAATTAATTTATAAAAAATTCAATATTACAAGGCTAAAAACCAGGGGGGCCATGGCCCCTCCTGGCCCCTTAAGGGATCCGCCACTGATCATCGACCTAGATCCATCCACTCACCACCCTCTTCGTACCAACCTCATCGATGGAAGTAAATATGGTATATCTGCCACCACTAAAACCTCTCTCTTCTTCGATGCTACAACTATTGCTTCATCACCTTCTTCCGGTGCTGCATCAACGACCACCAACATCGTCTCCGCCCCTCTCTATTCCGTTCGTGATGTATTGACAACCATCTTCCTTGTCATCAGCCCCTTCAATTTCCTATGGAGTTGCATCTCCGATCAACCCCCACATAGTCTACCTATAGCCAAGTACAACCCAACCCCCAAACTGTCTATCTTATATACTATTTTGAACCTATATCCAAGTGCCAATGGATTGGTCGAACAGATCCACCCTTACATCATTCACCTCACAGTCTTGTTCCTCCTACCATTGGTTTTCATCCACATACCATGGTCTACTGAATTGAGAGATGACAATATGGTAACTTCTTGATGTTTATTCAAATGATGTCATGAAGAAACGAATGTAGATGATGGGATTAACATTTTATTGAGAGATTTCATCTATTGGAATGTGATGGGATTAGGGATATCGAGTCATTGTATGCTCTTGTTCCAAATTAATCCCTACTTCCAAAGCATGTGGTTGCTTTGTTCTTAATCCAAACTTACTTTCTAATATGTTGTAGGAGCGTGTCTACGCCATGAAGTTCTATTAGTTGCTCATAAAAATTTCTTGCATTTTTACAATCACATTGCTTCTTTAAGTTCTTACATTTTGTTTCCTACACACAATATGTTCCGGTTGTCAATATTAGAGTTTTCTTGGTAGCAAAAGCATATGATTAAATTGGTATTGTGCAGATGAATATACATATTAATAAAAAAATGGTCAATGAATGTACATATTTGTGTTTTTATGGGGTTATTGTATTTGAACTTTAATGTTGTTTAGCCTTGGTAAAATAACAGATCCAAAAATAACCACCTCTAACAAGAACGAGGTTAATTAAACAAACAGTTAAAAAAATCGACATGAGGATCGACGTCCATGTTCAACCGTAAAAAACTCTAATCAGTTGGATGCTTCAATAAAATTTTCAATTCCTTATTTCTTTCTCATAATTGACAGTTTATAATTTCATTAAAATGATTAAGTGTTGTATTTAAGTTTGTTGTCCTGTTCCAAATCGAGACAGGGGAAGAAAGATGAGAAAGGGTAGGGCACTTGTGATGTTAGGAAAGAAGATTAGATGAGTAGGGAGGGATGACAAATGAGAGAGGTAAATATGTCTTTACCAAGTATTTAACTATTATTTTTAATGGAGCTAGCCAAAATAATAAATGTGTTTGTTTTTGAAACCACCAATATAGTAAAGATATTCTGAAAATGTTATTTTTCTTTTAAACTATAGGGGACCATTTGTAAAATTTTGTAATATATATATATATATATATATATATATTATATATATATATATATATATATATATATATATATAAAAGAACCCCTTTTAACAATCCCAGCCACCTACGTCGATGAATAAAGTGGACCAATGAGAACACAACCATATTTTTCGGACAAATCCAAATCCCTAAACAATAATCCTCGTTTACTTTTGATTTTGGAAGGGGTAGGTACACTAATTCTTCACGAGTCATATATATACCAATCCCTTTTGCTCTATGTATCCAAATTCCAAACCCACGTCTCCCCTCCGCCTCCCTCCCCTACCCACAGACAACGGCCACCGCACACCTCCGAAGTGGAAAGAGTTGCTGGCGGTGCTCTCCGGCGTCTGGCGGCGTTGCTCCAGTGCCTGATACCATAAACAGTAAGTATCTTTTCTCTCTTTTGTCAGATTTCATGTGGGTTTCTATACTTTTTGTAGAGAGGTTTCTATACTTTTTGCTTACTGATCTTATTGAGTTTGAATGGAAACTCGATTAAAGTTAGAATAGAAAGTGTCTAAGATATATTTATTTAAAGGGTTAATGTTTTAAATGATAAACGAAACTATTAAAGTTGTTTAAAAGTTTAAATTTAACATCTAACCATTATGATAAACGTATTTCGAGAAAAAAAATGTTCAAGTTATTTACTTCTAATAAAGTAGCTTTTCAATGTCTTTTAGGCTTAAAAAACAATGAAAAAGGTTTCTACCTTATGTTAGAGTTTTTTTTTATTGAAGCTTGTAATTATAAAGTCTTGGTTGAACTATATTATATTATTATGGTGGGTATCATATATATACTTACAACCAATTGTTAATGTCAAATTTATACAATAATATAAGAAATTATTATAAATCTTAATTTTATTGGTCCAGTTTTTATATATAATTCAAATGTATAAGAGCATCTCCAACTCTTTTTTTACCATTAAGTATAAAATAGATTAAAAGCTCATTAGTAGGTTTATTTTACACTCTATAAATAGAAAAATGAATGGTAACATTCTAAATTTAGAGTGTAACTTATACCATCTCGGACATATTTTATTTTTGAGTCTAAAATAAAATTTAAAATGAGATTGGACATCACTTTAAACTCTATTTTACACTCTAAAAATAAAATACCGTTGAAGATGTCATAACTTTTAATAAATCAAGTCAAGCTTTCTTAATTTGCTAATTGGACCGATGAATTAGCCTCAAATTTTTTAACTATATGTGTTTATGAGTTCATAAATAAAGCGCTTTTCAATAAATCCAAATACCCAAGTTTGTGGAATCGAAGTGATATTATCAATTATAGATGTTATTTGATCTTTTTCAATGACCAGCATACTCCTATTGTCCTATAATAAACAGTGTTTGACTTCCTATCCGATGTAACTAAAGCTTTTACCTAAAATAAGGAAATTTATATCTAAAAAGAGTAATATATGAAAATGTGCTCGATTACATTTATTTAATTTTAAGAAAGTATTTTTGAGTACTATATAATATAAAGAGGGTAGGTTGTAACGGATGGTGTAGATCCAAACACATGAGATATGGTTAGGTATAGAACATAAACATGGCTCTTGCCACCCATTTTCCCACCTAACACATTAATATCCCAAACACTATATATATAGTGATAAATATATATATATATATATAATATATATATATATATATATATATATATATATATATATATTAAATGACCAAAAGTGTATAACTTTAGATTAACTTATTGATACAAAATTTAATATTATTACTTCTTGTTTATTATAAGAGGGTTGATGTTTATAATTGCTATGTGGGTACATGTATGTTCTTTTAATTTTATAATGTTGGATTTTAATTATTATCATTTTTTTTTTGCTTTTTTGATAGTTACATAAGTTATAATGGTTATATCTCAGGGTATTTTATTCTTTTGGTTAGGTCATGTATAACTAAAATAGTCAATGAGTAATGACGTATGTTTAGATAAAATATTGTATATATAAATCTATCGTTTAAATCAATTCAATGACTAGTTTACCTTATATTCCAACAAATAGTCTTCACAATATCCATTAATTTTAATAATATTTGTTAATTTATAATGGGCAGTTTGATAGGAAAATAACTAAAAATGACAAATAGTTAGAAAATGAGCAGAAATCGGAACATGTAGATTTTGTTATAAAGAAACACATCACATAAAATATAAACCAAAATACATAGCATATTATTTGAATATACAGATTTTATTATAAAATATATAATTTAATTGGTAGCTATTTTTGTTTAAATATATGTATAAGAAACAACGTAACTTAAATCATTATTTTACTTATATTAACTTCAAATTGAAAATCACATGCTCATCTTATTTAAATATTTTTATTATAGTACAACGTATTTAATTTGTCGGCTATAATAATTTAATTTACGTGACTCATGGATCTGGTCTGAATTCTTTTAATAGACAAAATCATAAAAGTTCAAGAAAACTGAGGTATTTTTCTATTATATTGTTAGATCATCGATGATTAAAATAATAAATCCATCTGTTATTTATTTAATTTGCTACCTACTTCCACTGGCACATAGAAATAAGAGCACTCAGATTTGTCATAATAGTTGTCTGATAGAGTTGCAATTTTACATATCTGTCCTTTTCTATTTATGTCACCTATTATTGAAAAAGTTTAGCAATCGACAAAATTATCAGCTTAAGAGCACCTCCATCATCATATTAAATGGATCTTTATCATTATACACATGTTTTAACAAGATTAAATGGTACACTTTCAATTTTTTTGGGCTTCCTACTTAGATTTATATTTCTAATAAATTGAATTGTTTTTACTCTCTTAATAAATTTACACAATAATTAGAATAATTGTGTTCTGTTTTTTAAGATAAAGATGTCTACCCCTGTTTTTTTTACGTGGGTCATAAAACCTGGGTTGGGGTAAACCCAATATCATAGTATCCTGATCTAGGAATTGTTTATAATGATCTGAATTTTTAAGATCCAAATTTTTAAGAAATATGAATTTTTAATTGGGTTTGAATTTTTAATATGCTATTTGGTTGGGAACCTTGACCACCTATTTTTTATTTATTATTATTTCTTTTACAAATTTTCCCAAGTTTTCATTTCGATTTGACTTGTAATTTTTGTTACGAATTTGATCCTAACTGTTTAAACTAATTTTCCTTTTACAGAGTAGTTAACAATGGATAATGGAATTCAAACAAAGCTACTTAGACACGATGAAGAGGAGAATGAAGGTGACTTAAAAGAGAGGGTATGGGTCGAATCGAAAAAGATTTGGAGGGTTGCATTACCCGGTGTAATATCGAGGGTTTGTGCATTTGGAACTATTGTTGTGACTCAATCATTCATTGGCCATATAAGTGACATGGATCTTGCTGCTTATGCACTTGTCCAAACCCTAAGTGTTCGGTTTGTCAATGGAATACTTGTAAGTAAACATTTTTTGTCCTTTTTGTTCTGTCTTTATTTATAGTGGGGCCCACAAATGACAAAATACATTGCTAAATGCTTAAACTTTCCATTAATATTTATTTAACACAAATATATTGTCATAATCCTTTTGATTAACATTTTCAAAAGTTTATTTTAAACTAACTAAATTAATAAAATAAATTAAGAAATTAAAAAATAAAAAAATATTTAATATTTTAATACAACTAAAAGAAAAAAAAATTAGATTTTATTAGAGCAAATAGAGGCAAATTGTAATTAAAATCTCTACAAGAATTATTTAGAGCTTTTAAATGATCATAGTGACTTTTAAAATACCTTATACCTTATCTTTAATGAGACTCTCCACACTTTAAAATACCTTAATATTAATAAGTCTTTCAAGTATGTCGTGTCATTAGCCTTTCAAGTGTGCTATGTCAGTTTTGCAATTAACTTATATATCACTACAATACCGTTGTTGATGCTCTAAAAAGCGATTCATTTTATTCTTTAAATGGTAATAAGTTTTCAAAATTTACACATTAAAGATGTTTGATAAAACTAAGCCATTTAGTTTTCAAATGTGCATGTCAATTTTGCAATTAACTTCTAAATCACTACAATGCCGCTTGGATGTTCTAAAAGCTATTCATTATACTTTTCAAATAATGAAAAAATTTTCAACTTACTTTTAACATAAAAGGTTGTTTGATAAAACCGAACCATTTATAGTGCTCAAGTATTTCAATATCTTTATGGTTAAAAAGAATATGGGGTTCTTTAACCATTAAGAGGTCATTTAGAGTCTTCGAATCATAGGCTATATCAAACACATTAAATACTAACCGATTTAGAGATAACATTCTATTCAAATGTTAACAAACAACCTCTTAACCACAAATTGAAAACCAAAATACATTGCTAATATATCATTATTTTAATCACATATTTCAATCAACAGTTGGGAATGTCAAGTGCAACCGAAACACTTTGTGGTCAAGCATTCGGAGCGGGTCAACACCACATGATGGGCATTTACTTGCAAAGATCATGGATCGTCGACTTCTTCACTTTAACTGTTTTACTCCCAATTTTCATCTTCGCAACACAATTATACAGACTCATCGGAGAAGATGAAGGCATAGCAGTAGCCGGTGGTTACGTATCTCTCTGGTTCATCCCCTTCGTCTACAACTTCGTCTTCAGCTTAACGATTCAAATGTTTCTACAAGCTCAATTAAAGAACATGGTGATCGCATGGCTTTCAATTTTCCAATTCGGGATTCATATTCCATTATCATGGCTTCTGGTGTATAAATTAGGGTATGGACTTCCTGGAGCCATGATTGCTTTGTCGACTTCTTCTTGGTTTCTTGTCATCGGAGAATTTATCTATATTTTTGGTGGGTGGTGCCCGCTTTCATGGAAAGGGTTTACAGTTGCTGCTTTTAAAGATTTGGTCCCTGTTGTGAAGCTTTCGATAGCTTCTGGTGTTATGGTGTGGTAAGTATGATCGATCTTTTCGAAAAACGTAAACGATTATTAAATTTTGACTTTTAAGTCAAACTTCTTACATTTCAAGATTAGTTCTTGCTACGGATTTTGTTACAATATCAAGCATCAAAAATGTTCTTTTGGTAAACTGTGTCCTAGAATGTAGTTAGTAATAACCGATTTTTTCTTAAAATTCTTTATTGATAGCAAAATTTCAATGTTAAAAAAAAGTCAAAGTCAAAGGCAATCTTTATTATTATTATTATTATTATTATTATTATTATTATTATTATTATTAATTTTAATTTTATTTTAAGTCAAGTCTTTGTGATTGTGAACAACCTCCTGATTTAGTAGTTCAAAAGTCAAACCTTTTTATATTATTTTTGAGTTTTGTCGAGATTTTGTTATATAAATCTATTAACATAGATCAATTTAAACAATGAAAGTTTGTTAAAAAATAGAGAAATTAAATATCCTTCTATATTTGGTTCCTACTTATTCTCCTACCATATCAAATGTTGACAGTTAATTAAATAATTATTAATTTCATTAAATGTCTAACTAAATGTGACACATGTCAACATTTGATATGATAGTAGGATAAATATGAACAAAATATTGGATTATATTTAATTTCTCTAAAAAAATAAGTAATTAAGCTCATTTTTATACAAAATAAAAATGAGTTTGACCTCAAAAGTCTTTTTTTTTTTTAATTGTAACTTAACGAATATTTTTTGTGTTATTTCTTATGCTAGCTTGGAGCTATGGTACAATGCTGTGCTAGTCTTACTTGCGGGATACATGGCAAATGCAGAAGTTGCCATTTCTGCCTTTTCCATATGGTATAATACATACATTTTATGAATTTAATCATATTATATATTTATTTAATATCTGAAGAAATTGAAACATTTTTTATTTGGAAATTTGCAGCTTGAACATCAATGCATGGGAGTTTATGATAAGTCTCGGCTTCTTAGGATCTGCAGTGTATGCAACAAATCAATATTAAATCATTTATAAAGCACACTTATTTCTGCATGTTATAAATTAAAAATGGAGTAAATTACAACTTTGATCCCTGTGCTTTACAAGAAATCACAAGTTCAGTCGAAATTTTCAGATCTTCCCAATTAAACGACTTTAAAGTCTGGACTTAACTTGCAATTTTGAGTACATCACAGGGACCATATCTGCAATGAAATAAAACTTAAGCACAAATTTTATACTGAACTTGCAATTTTATGAAAAGAATAGGGACCAAATTTGTAATTTACACTAAAAAATCTTTGTATTTTTTTTTATAGTGTGCGGGTTGCAAATGAACTTGGAAGAGGAAATGCTAAAGCTACAAAGTTCTCGATTAAAGTGTTGTTGGGAACTTCTATCGCGATTGGAACATTCTTTTTTGTTCTTTGCTTGATTTTTGGCAAAAAAATCGCGTACTTCTTTACAGATGATGAAAGAGTTGCAGACACTGTTGAGGATCTTTCTTTATTACTTTCCTTTTCCGTGTTGCTGAACAGCATTTATCCAGTTCTTTCAGGTAATTCTATAACCATTTGCATTGTAAATTATATTTCCTATTTTTGAAGTATATATAATGGTACATAATTCTTTAACGTTTTAAAACTGTTAATTAAAGAAATGTTGTAGTCGTGAGGAGTTTTGGTAAAACTGAAAGTTAGTTAAACTAAGAACTTTCTATTTTGGGAAAGATTAGGGTTGATCTTTTTGCCATAATTTGAACCCTGTAGGAATATTTTTATTAAACTATGAACTTACTATTCTTGGAAAGGTTATGGTTACTTGCTGGATAGTTTTTCCATAATTGGGAACTTTAATTGCGTAATCTGCTAAAACCTAAAAGACTTCGTAAATTGTAAACTTTCTATTCTGGGAAAGACGTTTTTAGTGTTGATTGCCTTGGATTCTACGAGATTTAGACTAGTAAAATCTTGGTGTCATCATGGGTTTTATCAAACTCGGTAAAATATATGATCTTTCGATATCTGTTTCCTGTAATTTAAATTGTGAACTTTTTTTTACGCTAGATTATATAATATATAAGCCAGAACTTTTTGTTGAAACCTGTAAAAATATACCGATAAATTATATAATTTTTTTTTTGTTATCATTAGGCGTGGCTGTTGGAGCTGGAATGCAGGGTACTGTAGCAATCATCAACCTCGTTTGCTATTACGTGATTGGTATTCCAATGGGAGCTTTGCTAGGATATTTAACTGATCTTCAAGTAAAGGTATATAATATATCACAATTAAACCAATGTTAAGTTAAGTTATTCATTTTTCCTCGTTTTTTTTGAATAAAATATTGAGAATTTTTTATATTAATTGTTAGGGTATATGGATTGGAATGATTGGTGGCATTATAACTCAAACACTTGCACTTATGTACTTAACATGGAGAACAGACTGGGATGATCAGGTAAACTTGGGAAAGATGATTGGAGTTTATTTAAACATTAATACCTTTTAGCTTTTTGGCATTCATAATTTGATATATTTCTAAAATTAGAAACTGAATCTTTTTTGGTTTACAGGTTAAGAAAGCTGGCGAACGGCTGAATCGGTTTTACGTGAAATCTTCAGACGAATCTGAGCAGATTTCTAACTAATGTTCTCAGATGGAAAGATTGTATGTTACAATATGTTCTAGTTATTAGTATTATTATTTTTTGGATTTTGCAGCTATTGCTGATGATTGAGGGGTTTGATTCTTTCTTGTTTGATAGATGTTCTTTACATTCTATGTTAGGAGAATAAAAATTTGACTAGTTTAGTCCTTGTCCTATTGATTATTTCTATCTACAATCTTTATACAAAGTTATATCTATGGTACTCTCTACACAAGGTCTATGGTGACGTGTTTTGGCTTGTGGGCTTGTCCTACATACATTTTTTATCAAGTTTTACAAAATTAAGCATTTTATTTTAAAACTTGGTTTGATGCTTTTAATTTTTTCGCAAACATTCATCACAATAAAAGCGTACAACAAAAAACATTTTAATCAACAATAAATAAAAACTATATGTTGCCAAAACTGGTCAACAATTTCAAAAGATACACTAAAGGATTTTTGGATTTTGTTTCCGGGAAAAGTGCCAAATAAACTAACTACAAAAGTCATCGGAAAACCATCACAAACTTCCGTTAACAACCGCATAACTGCCACGGGGGTGGGGCAACATTGTTGGGCCTAGAGGAGGGGTGGGAGTTAATACAACAAAGTGACCACTGAAGATAAGTGAAGGCATAAAAACAAACGAATGTGTTTTGTTGATGATGAAAGTCTACGGGTTTTGGTGTAGCGAAACTAAAGAGAGGCGAAGAATGCCTTTCCCCAAAGATGAGAAAAGACTATCCTTTGTTGTTCTCCGCACCAAAGTTGTACTTTACTTGTATTTGTTTATTATCCATATCTTTTGTAATCAATGTGTTAATGTGACCTGATTACAATATGGTGAGCCATACTCAGATACTCCCATACTTAAGACATGTCTTAGTTTACTGACTCTTTGTGTTTTCCCTATAAATAAGGGTAAGGGGTCAAATGTATTCATTTTTATTTAACTAGGGTAGAATTGGTACGGTACAAATCATTTTTTTTCTTTAAACAAAAAAATTTCTACCACTACCGTACAAAGTATAGTTTGTACCAACTAGTTTGGTTACCAACAAGTTTTATTGATACATATTGATAATGATATATATCAACATATATAAATGTTTTGTATATGAAGATTCTCCTGTTCTTGAACATTGTGAAACATGAATGAGCCTTTTGTGAATGATAGTTTTGTGAATGGATGAGATTAAAAACTCGATCTAAAAGAATTCAACTAATTTCTATAATAAATTTAAATTTTGAAGTACATGGCGTAAAATGGAACAAGCCACCATAAGTTTAAATTTTAAGGTTTCCTAATACGATAGATGGTAATATTAGAGGTCTTAAAATCTTAAACACCAAAAACACTTAAAATTATATATATGTGATAGTCTCTCTCTCTCTCTCTCTCTCTCTATATATATATATATATATATATATATATATATATATATTAAATTGGTTGGTATGGTAGTATCATAGTATTGAAAACTTTGTACCATTATCCTATCATGTTTACTCAATTGGTATGGTACTACCAACTAAATATGTTGGCTACCAAACATATTGGTTATCAACATTGTTGGTTCGGTTGGTAACATGTTGATTAGTTTTCTATGGTACATATTTGTCAGCCCTATATTTAACTATTGGAAATATACAAGTCAATTATTTAACCAAAACCTACGTTGTTCTTATTAATTATCGTTTTGCTTGCAAGTTTTCATAGAAATAATCTTGTTCTTTAATATTTGTGGTGATCATATTATGTTATTTGTTATTTCACACTAAATATTTTTGTTTGAAATTAAATGGCTCTTGTTTTTATTCTCAACAATTGGTATATGAGCCATAGTAGTTGCTCTTTCATACTCCCAAATTTTTAGATCCTAGTTTCGTACACTTCTGAAATAGGTTTTATTTAGAAATGTCTCATTATTTTGGGAAAATTTTGATAATATCCTAAAAAAATTGGACAGAAAAGTTCCATTATTTTGGAAAAATCACATAATCTGTCTTTTTTGTTAAAATAAAAAAAGACTTTTTCATTTATTTGGGCAAAATGTTAAATAATCGTGACTTTTCTGTTAAAGAAAAAAGATTTGAGATTTTATCAAAAAATTTCCCAAAATAATGGGACCTTTCTGCATAAAACCCCTTCTAAAAGCTTACAGAGGAACATTTATATACCACTAAGAACTTTTTCTCAAACGGAAACGAACAAGAAAATACAACAACATTATTCATTAAACGTGTCAAACATCATGGGTAGTGTTGGTGATTTTAGATCCACTAGACATTTTGGGTACTTGGAACTGATATGTGAGCTAATAGGCTTATGCTGTGTACTCTACATTATATGTTTAATATGTGTGGAGTGCACGTATATATAAGATCAAATTATAAGCTGATACGACAAAATGACGGGGGTCAAGGGTCGAGTGTAACACTAAGTTTCAGGTATGTCTGTTTCTTAAAAGTATTAATGTTTCAAGTTTTGGATGTCTGGTGACCACAACGTGGTGAATGAGTCTCATGATGTGGCCATGGCCAGTAAACTCGTGGTGGCTAAGTAAGTGCCAGGGCGTGGCCGCTGTTTAATGACAAACCCTAATTCCGGGGTTTGTGCCCCTATTTAAGGGATGTGATGGCTAGGGTTTCCTACCTTTTGAGCTTGAGCTTTTATGGTGTTTGGAAGAAGAAAAAGGTGCCCTTAAGCTTTGTTTCATCAAGGAACTCTCTCCATTCCCCTTCTTCTTGTTTTCTGGACTTTGTAAGTCCTCAAGATCCGATTTTTATGTTACTTGCTTCTAGATCTAGCCCTTTTGTCCCTTAATCTTCATTGTGTGAGAGTTTGAAAGGTTGGATTTCATAATGTTAGCAACTTTATGGATCCTTGTGGTCATCTTAGTGTTATATGCTCCAGATTTGAGGATCTTTGGAGTTTTGATCCTATGCTCAAGCCTTGAATTCATAATTGTCATGTTTTTTTTACCTAAAATGGAAGGGAAATGCATTGTCCATGCACGTACATAGACCTATGATTTTTAATGGGTGTTTGCATGCCTTGATTTGCCTCTAAAGACTTAGGGTTTGAGATCTTTACTTATTGAGATGTCTGAAGACTTAGCGTTTGCATGCCTTGAGTTTCCTCTAAAGACTTAGGGTTTGAGATCTTGACTTATTGTAACGTCTCGAAACTCAAAACCAAAATTTTTTGTTTTCATATTACATAAAACATCAACCGAACAATTTAATCAAAACCATAAATAAATCATAGTGTATCAGTAGACATCCAAAATACATGAAAGTTAATAAAGCGGAGAAATTGTGGTGTACGCGATGCGATCATCCCGAGCTCTTCCCCTCCGAACTAGAGGTACCTGAAGCATGAACCGAAAACCATAAGCACAAAGCTTAGTGAGTTCCCCAAAATACCACATACCATACATACAATGGGCCTCGCCCGGTATACAAACACATACAATACATGCATAAGTCACAAAAACAGCTAACATACTATAACATTATCCAATGGGCCGGAATTGGTGCCTTCGACCCGCAAGTACTATGAGAAGACTCGCCTCAGTCCGCTGATAAAAAAATAATACTCGAGTAGCTGATATGAAGGCTCCTCACACTAAATACATACAAATTACCTTAATTAGAAATTAAGGCATCTAATCAATATCAAGGGCCTAAATAATCATCTTTCTCTCTCTTAGGGTAAAAGACTATTTTACCTTTTGAAGTCTAGACCTTACCAAACATGCCCGAAAGTTCAAAAATGATTAAAATTAATCCTGGACAGCGAGTGATTCCGCAAGATCGATTAATAATCCCAACAACAAGTCTCGTGTCGTGATCAAACCTTAGTCACGATGCCAACTTGTAACATTATAAGGCACATCCGAATCCCTAAAACCAAGGCTCTGATACCAACTTATAACGTCCCAAAAATTACAAAGAGATTTTTCGATTTAAAATATATTAACTAATTAAAACCTTATAACTTAAGATTATTAAACGATATTCATTTGTTGAAAACCAATAGTTAACATAGTTCTTTTATAAAACAGCCTCAACCAATATCTTCAATGCATGTGAATAATTCCGCTGAGCTCTTGTCACGTACAACCAGTAAAACAGTTTATCCATAATTGTAAGCATAAAGCTTAGTGAGTTTCCCTATATACCAGATATTCCACCATACATATAATGCATCCAAGAAAGCCTCAACCCTATAGCTGAACAATCAGGTCTCCTATATACATACATGACGGGCCCAACCCTAGGGAATATACGGGCCCAACCTCGACTCCATTTTCAAGGCCAAACCCTGGTCTTACGTACAATTGTTGTGATCCAACCAGAATATTTCTTATTAGTGTTGTGATCCAACCACAGTCTTTCAAATTGATGTTGTGATCCAACCAAAGTCTTTCATATCAGTGTTGTGATCCAACCACAGACTTGCATATCAGTGTTGCTATCTAACCATAGCCTTTCATATCAGTTGCTAGGGGTTAGATCTTGTTCTTTCATATAATTCATGAAGTTATATTTAGTCCGGGATCAGATATACAGTCGAACAGATGAGCCACCCGAGAGCGAACAGTTAGACAAGAACATTACAATCAGGTATTAGACCAAGAGTTCTCAGGATATCCAACTTAAACAACATAGAACCCAAACTATCACTATAACATAATCATGTAACATGAACACATAACAAATACTAGCGTATCCATACCCTTAGCAACTAGCCTTACCTAGTTACCCTGCTATTAACCACTTCTCAGTTAAGTCATTCGCTAGTAAGTCATATATTATCCTGATAACTGGTCTACCTTAGTTACCCTAACTAAATATAACTCCTGACAGTCCCATACGATCAACAGGAAAGAACCTACTAATTTAGCATACCAAGACACCAAGTATCCTAATCTACAACATGCATATCAAGGAGTTCTCCTAGCCACTAACATACTTATACTCTAACAGTACATCTATGATGGGTTTTGAGCATTACATCAATCCTATGGTGCACATGCAACCCTAAAGCTTTGGATCTAGGTTTTCTCTAGTTGTACATGCAATAAAATTATCCAAATCCATAACCCTAAACTAGCATGCTATTTTCGAAATTAACACCTAATAGAAAATTAGATGATTACCTTTCTTTGTAGCTTGCTTGATCTTCAACCTTTGAGA